ATGGGACTGAGAAGTATTATTTTCTACTTTTTAGTCCATTTATAAAGGCGTTGTATATTAAAAAGTTTTTTTATATTATTTTTTCTGGATTAAAATGTGCTAAACATTCATCAGATGCCAATAAGCATTTAAGTTTCGAGATTGATTCCGCACAATCTTTCGACCATTCGAATTTTTTATTCGCTTGCAAGAACTGATAGAGTGGGTAAAGCAATGTCGACAAATTAGGTAAAAATCTTCTATAAAAGTTTATCACCCCCACCAACGCTTGCAGTTCCTTTACATTTGATGGCTCCTTAATATTACGAATGTCTTTTACTTTGTCCGGATCCATATGTTAGCCATCTTTGTTAATAATATGCCCTAAATATTTTATTTCATCTACAAAAAATTCACATTTGTGTTTGGACAACTTAAAATCCGCATCACTTAATAAAGTTAACACAGCTTCTAACCTTTGCGTGAGTAACTTCTCGCACGATGCTGTTATGAGTATATCATCGGGGAATACTACTACCCTATCGATGCCCATTAACAGCGTGTCCATAACTCTTTGAAAAATTGCGGGCGCCGATGCCAAACCATATATAAGCCTTGTATACTGAAAAAGGCCCTTTTATGTACAAATTGTTGTGAGTTTACGCGATTGTTCATCCAACTCGATTTGCTGATAAGCTGTACTTAAATCTAGCTTCACAAACTTTACCCTGCCATGCATCTTTGCAAAGATTTCTTCAATTCTTGGTAAAGGATACTTTGCAATATGTAGATGTGGGTTTAAGGTCACCTTAAAATCACCACATATGCGTATTCCGCCATCTTTCTTTTGAACGGGAACAATCAACGTCCTCCATTCGCAATAGTCCACCGGCTGTAAAACTTTCAATGCTACTAAACTGTCTATTTCTTTTTCAACTTTTTCTTTTGTAGCTAAAGGTAAAGGTCGCGGCCTAAAAAATTTTGGTTCTGTTCCCTCCTTTACATGTAAGTGTGCTTTAGTCCTTTTGAATAACCCCAACGACCCATCGAACATTTTAACAAATTTTTGTAAGACCCGGTTGTCACCTTGAATTTGTTTAGCAAAATTTAAATTGGAAAATTCAATATGGAAACAATTCAAGAACTTCCGACCCAGCATTCGAGGGCCTCCCGATTTAATTACGAAAAATGTAATATTCTTATGTTGCTCTTTGAAACGTATATTCACATCAAACACCCCCAGCGGAATAATGCTACCACCATTGTATGTTCTCAACATGGTTCTTATCTCTCGCAACTTATACTTGCTAAAGTGAGTTTCGTAAGTTTCCTCTGCCGTGACATTGTTTTCTGAACCTGTGTCTAGCTGCATATCAAATGCTTTGCCAACAACAAAAATATTTACAGTAATCAGTTTATCTTTAGAAATATTAATTGAAAATAAGCTTAACTCACTTGAACTATTTAAAAAATTAAACTACTTTTTTCCCTTACAAATTTTTTTTGAAGTGTCCTCTTTTTTTACAATTATTGCATTTATAATTCTTAAACTTACATTCGTTTCTGCTGTGGTTAGTGTACCCGCATACTTCGCATTGTTGCTCTCTCTGTTGCCAATACCCTTGATGTGACCTCTGCTTAAAATTCTGCTGCCAATTTCGCTCGTCTTGCGACTTCTGGTTCTTCTTTAAGAAGTTCAGCTCTTCCTGCTTTATTTGTACGCTGTCGCCTTGCTGTTGTTTAATATATTCCGCTGTGTTTGCTATATCCACCACCTTGTCGAAACTTGCTGCCATGTTTTCCAAAAAAATTTTGTCTCTAGCTGGACCCTTTTCCAGACCCATAACAAATTTGTCTCGCAGCACAATATTGAGGCTATTACCAAAATCACATTTTACTGCTAACGCTCTTACTCTAGCTGCCCAATCATTTACGGATTCTGCTGAAGCTTTTGTAGCGTTATAAAATTTGTAACGCTCCACAAACGCAGATGGTGTTGGCCGAAAATGGTTTCGCAATCTGTCGAGGCACCTGTCCAAGGTAGTGTTAGCGTGTTCCAGCACTTCCGGACATATTAAATTGTCCAGCAAAGTATACGCACTTTCGGATAACGATGTTAACAAAATCGCCTTCTTCTTATTTTCTTCCGTGATGCGACTAGCAATGAAGAATTGCAATAATTGCTTTTCGAACACGAACCATGAGCATTAAAATTACACGGTGTTGCGTTACTGGTCACCATATCACAAAGATATTGTTTTCACCAGTTGCCAAATCACTTGCTTCCCGTTTAAAAATGTATACAATAGTTTTTATTTCGTCGCCACTGTGATATTCTTCGATATGGTTTTTTGTATAGCACATAAAACACGTCGTCGTCGTATAAGTGCCCAACCGGAAGTAGAGGTTTACGCCGACAGGCTTTGCGGCGGCGGCGTGGTCAACTTCAAACTTCGGTGGCGGCGGTGACACCGGCGCGTCTGGAAACGCCGGCGCTACTGCCCATAAGGTAGATTCCAAAGAGCCATGAGGCTTCTAATGTTATCATGTCATCAGATTATAATTATATTCAATTCATTCATTGAATTCAAATGTTGAGTGACTGCCAGTGGCGTAGCCAGGGGGGGAAATGGGGGGATTGATCCCCCCCTCTTCATTGAACTACAATTATTTACTTAATTAATATAATTAATTAATTAATAACACAATACTATTTTATCCTTCTGATTTAAAATTTTTTTTTATTTACGGATGACAAATTATCTTTTAATGAATATATGAGTAGTCCACTTGCAAACAGCGTTATGTGATTTTATAAAAGTAAACCATAATTTAAAACAAGTAATTTTTACCAAAAAAAACCGACTTCAACTCTCATATAAAATATATATATATATATATATATATATATATATATATATCTCATGATCCACTGCTCGGATCTTAACCAGATTAGTATGGGACCACCTCTGAGACACTACCTTTCCGAATTATCGAAACCGGTTGACGTGGTCCAAAGTTATGCGGTAACATACATAAAAATAAAAAATAAAATATTCCGACGAACTGAAAACCTCCTCCTTTTTTGGAAGTCGGTTAAAAAAAACGTCTACGATAACAAGTAACTACCGAACTGTATCTTTTTTATTACCTGAAAATTTGGATAAATGAGAGCCTAATACCATTAAAAAAATAAAATTACAGTATGGTATATTTGCAAATTTTATATTTAAAAATATAATATTGCAAGTTTTGAAACAGTAACGATTACATAGCTAGCCATTTGAAAGTATTATTATAGCGACTTTTGCAAGAGTAGTTAACATTTCATGCTATTTTTTTCAGAATATAGAAAAATTTTTTACTCTGCTGTTAGTGGACATGAAAACCACCACCACCAAAAACTAAAAATCTAAAAAAAATTTACATAGCGCACTTTGCAAGTGGACTACTCAATTGTTGAATGTGCTATCTTATTTGTCCCTTCTTTTTATACAATTAAGGAGCGGCTGAATGGTTTAACGATGTTAGCGGTACATAATGATGTGCCGATTACAACACAAGAAGTAATTGAAACAAGTAAGAAAGTCTAGGTTCGGGCGGAGCCGAACATTAAATATCCGGCGCAAGTATTAAATATATGTTTCTTCACCTTTCCGCAACCTACCGCTAGATGGTAAGCCGGGGTGTATCAATTTTGAGTAAATTGGTGTCCTTCAATTTCGAAATATTGAAGTTTCAAGCATTTCTGAAATTTACCGCTATATGAAAAGCGGCCGTAATTTTAGTCCGATTTCAATAATTTTCAACGCTTTGCTTTCATGTGGCAAGCACACCGAGTTTGGTACAAATTGGTAGAACGGTTACCGATATACATATATGTGATCATAAGTGGGCGGAGCCCCGCCCATTTTCCAAAATTGTACCATAAAAGAATTTTTGCAAGCATCAATTTTGAATAAATTAGCTTCAATATTTACTGATTTATCGAAGATTTTGTATTTCTCTAAATTACCGTTATATGGGATGGTATGTTGTACCAAGGCCAACAACTGTGCCAAGTTTGGAAGAAATTGGTGCAGCGGTTACCAAGATATACACATGTAACCATAAGTGGGCGTGGCTACGCCCATTTTCCAAAAATTTATAATATTCTTATTTTTCGTCTAAAAATTGTTGTAAATATCAATTTTAAGTGAATAATCTTCAGTAGTTACTAAAATATCGCAGTTTTCGTATTTCCGAA